GCCCTACCACTGTTGCCCGAAAGGACTCATATTATGAATACATTCAGTTCACCTGAGGTGAAGAATAGGTCAATTGCAAATTTACACTCACTATCAGAGAAATGAATCCATAGTGAACAATGTTGACCTGTTGTGCAGTAAAAGTAGAACGTATACTGATACAAGCTGAAATGATTCCATACTGGAAGATGTCCATCACAATGAATCCATCACGATTGTTATCATGGATTTCCTGTTGACTTTACTGTTCCTCGTATTATTATTGAATGCAGTTTCGTTGGAAAAATAAATGTATTATGTGATCATTTTCACAAGCACTGGCTCTAATTCTATGAGGATGATTTCAAATGATGATTGTGTTAAGAAGTTTAGTGGAGGATGAATAGCTACGTTGTAGTGGTTGTAATAGAAGGGTTGGGATGAGACTTCCAATAAACACTTCCAAGGGATAACATGAGAAAAAGCATGAATAGCAAAACATAGTCACAATTTAATCATAGCCCAACAACACTCTCTATTTTGGATGCATTTCGGCTTATATTGATATGCATTTGACTTACACTGCACAACAGGTCAACACTGTTCACTACGGATTTATTTCTTTGATTTTGAGTGTAAATTTGCAATTGACTTATTCTTCACCACAGGTGAACTGAATGTAATTGTAGTACGGAACCAAACTGTGCCCGGTTGTTGCTTATGATTATTGTTCATCATTAATTTAATTGCCGCTGCATGGATCGCAATTAGCTGCGAGCATGGCTATTAACTTGAACTGAATTAATTCCTATTGAAATTATTCTGCCTGTTCGAGAAGGTAGATGTTAATGTGTGCAGAGAGCTGTGGCACACTGTCTTATCGTTAGTGCATGCGATGGCTGATGCGTGTTTTGTGTGCGTTAGGCCACACCCCTTTCTCCTTGACCTGGACTGCAGGATTACCACCGAATTGGTAATTTATTTGTATTCGGTAGATTTCAGATGAACTGCTTTCAAGGGTTTGAGATCGAGATGTCAAACGAGTCGTCAGACCTAGAGTGGCAAGTCGTCAACGGGGTATTCCAAAACATTTCAGCACTGAGAAATTCAACTTGAAAGGTGTGAGCAGTATTCGTTTCAGCGGTTTCAGCACTGAGAAATTCAACTTGAAAGGTGTGAACAGCATTCGTTACAACGGTTTAATTCACAAGAAGGGTATTGATATTCATCCAGCCCCCGAAAGCAATGCAATAATGATGTCTACCAAGATCAAAAGTTGGTCCCTCTGTTCTTACTTTTCATTAATTTTGCTTCATCTTGTTAATTTTTATTCTTGATTCATCAGCACTGAGAAATTCAACTTGAAAGGTGTGAGCAGTATTCGTTTCAGCGGTTTAATTCATAAGAAGGGTATTGATGTTCATCAGCTCGCGACAACAATGCGGTAGTGATGTCCACCGAGATAAAAAGTTGCTCCCTTTGTTCTTACTTTTCATTAATTTTGCCTCATTCTTGATTCATTAATTTTATTTTGCATTCATGATCGCTGGCACCGCAACACAACATTGCTATTAGTTAGCATCTTTAATGTCTTTGTTGGTGCTTTATGTTGAATTCATTTTCAGAATCATTTTTTGCTACCAAACAGTTGCGTTTTTTCAAAACACAGGAATATGTTATTGTTATTCATGTAAAAAGTCAGCTTATTCATACCTGTTCCGTTAGAAAGGTTTTGAAAGTTGTCTGCTAGTTTCTAAAATTGTCAGCTATTCAAGTGATTATGTATTATAGTTGTGCTGTAATCTGGTATTTCAGCAAAGACTGCTCAGCCAGCCAAATCGGTTGTTGCGGTTACTTTGAAGAAAAATAGTCGCAAATCACTGAAAAGTGTCAAGAATACCACAAAGAATTATCGCCGTTCGCACTTAATGGTATGCTTCAAATATCATCAATCGTTTACTGAAAGGATATTAAAACGTTTTTGAAGTGAACTGAAAACCATGTAAATATTGACGTTGTGATATCATGAATGAAATGAAAACTTTTTGAATATTAGTAACATTTGGTTGGGATACTGAGGTAATACGGTGTTAATAAGTGAAGATGGCAATGGGAGTGAATTGAACGACTCTGCTAATCTATCACTAATTTATTAACGAATACGTTATCTCGAAATTCGTTTGATTGTGCATCCCATTGCAGTTAGCACAACGTCGAGCCTCGCAACTGCTACGTTCTCTGAAGCCGGTGGCGTCGCGTCGTGGTCGTCACGTGCGTAAAGCGGATGCTTGAATTAGAATAATGAGAGAATGAATGGGGTGGTGCAAAGAGTAAGAGTGCTGAAATAAATGCCGTAGATGTATGATTATTGACAGGAGTGAGATTAGAGTTGGAGTTGTGTGCTTTGCTGTCAAAGGTGATATAACTCTGCTCGCTTCTATCAGTGCATCATCCTGAATCCTTTCATTCCATCCTACCCTCCCTCTTTTCTAGCCAAATGGAAATTCATTTGATTATTCACTATCCTGTCAGCATCTCTATCAAGTGGAATACGTAGACAGTGCTAATACTCTATTCGGTACCTCTCATTCGTCATGATGCTGCTGTTGTTGTTGTTATAAGCTGATATATTCACTGTTTTTGAACTGCATTACAATGTGCACATTATCGTTGTTTTATCGACTTTCAGTGGACTCGAATTGAGTTGGAAAGTTGATAATTTATTTGTATGTTGTTTGTGTGCAGGAGTGCATATGTTATTGTGTGAATTGCTTCACTATAAAGTTGTTGCATATTTNATTTGTATGATCCTAGTAAAACGCTAAGTTTCGAACACAATAATACGTTAGTGGAACGTATTATAAATTGTATCATTGTTCTCAGTTTTTTCCTGGTTCAGAGGTTTTGTGGAAATGGGGATATGTCATAATCTACATCATACCAAGATGAAAAAACGAGAGTATGAGTTAGGTCAACGATAGAATGATCAAATTCATATTAAGTTCTTTTGTGGTTCGGTTTAGTGTTGTGCAGGGAGTCCCCGGAATCCCCGACCATCTTCGAGCGGCGGCAATTTTCGGGGACTTCCCCCGTCCCTGAATCACCGTCGTCGTCCTCGACTTCTCCAGAATTGCCGCCTTTCCCCGGAATCTCAGGGAGACTCCTTCAAATTTCGGGGAGTCCCCTCGAAACTCCTCGAAAAAAAATCGAATTCGAACCTACCGCGCCCTTGTGGGCGATTCTAAGTTGTATATTCGATATTTGCTCGCATGCTTGCCTTTAAGGTCCCACTATCGTTCTGTCTCATCGTCAGCTAGGGTGTACAGAGGATCCCGAGATTTCAGTTGTGATCCCGACGCCGGAATTTAGGTTTTGAAAAATCCTGGGATCTCCGGATTTGATAAAGCAGGTCAATTTGTATTAATTTAGATAGTGCGTCCATCTTGAAGCAAGCCTTAATCATTGCCAGCTCATTCATATGCAGTCATCCTCGTTGTTTGCCACCTATCATCGAGGAATAGTCGACGATTGGCATTATCAACAACAGCTTGATAAACTTTTGCGTAGCATTTCATTGAGCATTCAGCTGATTATTCTGCCCTTCATCAGTTCATGTCACGCTCATCTGGATGCATTTCTATGTAGACTTATGGAGATAATCACATTTTCTGATGGGAACCAAGAGCAACAAAATTCAGCGAAATTTTGAGTTCACGAATCCGTGTGTTAATTCCTTCCCACAATTCAGAATGTTTCGAGAGCTGCACAGTGACATGTAATTTGTCCGCATAGGTGAGTGTAGTAGAAAACTGTAGTAGAGCGTGTATTTTCTTTTCTTTTTGTCTAATTGTAAGAAATTTTGCCATTATTTTGCTATTTTTTCGAAGACTCTATTTTCTGCTATTTTTTGCTCAATTCTAAAAACTCTGCTATGAATTTTTTTTTGCTAATTTTGCTGCCCTAAAAAAATTTGCTATTTTCAAAATCTATTTTCTCATGTGATTGAATAAAATACTATAAATAGAGTTGCATTGCGCCTTTGCAGTCATCGCTTTTCTAGCCTAAAGATCACTTATTTCAATGCTTTTCCATCAAAAAATCATGTTTTCAAGGCCCTGTTGATTCTAGTTCCGAAGTCACATTTTCGGAGAGATTCGAGGAGTTTCGGGGAGTCGGGGACGCGGACAAGATTGCGTTTCCTCCTTGAAACTACCAGTCCCCGACCAGTTTCGAGCTGTAGACATTTTCGAGGAGTCTCTCCGTTCCCGAAATGTCTCCGACTCATTTTTCTCTCCCCGCAGAACACTAGTTCAGTTAGTACTTTGGTGTGGGATGTGGAGTCATGTCACAAATGCAGAAAAGCTGTCGAAAACATCGAAGCGCGTAAACTATAGCTGCTAAT